ATATATATATATATATATAATATTGAACAAATCACACGATTTTTATAAAAGGAACACATTTGTAATTAGCTTCTATATCCAGAAAAGACCATGATCAGAATCCTCCTACCCACTTCTAGTCACTGTACTTCTGAGGGCATCTATTCTTACAGTGCCATAGATTAGTTTGTTTTTAAAATTTATACACATGCAATTTTATAGTAGTTTCATATATATATAATATTGAACAAATCACACGATTTTTATAAAAGGAACACATTTGTAATTAGCTTCTATATCCAGAAAAGACCATGATCAGAATCCTCCTACCCACTTCTAGTCACTGTACTTCTGAGGGCATCTATTCTTACAGTGCCATAGATTAGTTTGTTTTTAAAATTTATACACATGCAATTTTATAGTAGTTTCTCTATTGCACGATTGTTTTCGCTGAACATGTTAATGAGATTTGACCAATAGTAATATTTTAGTGCATTCTGTGTCATTGTTACCCAGTATTCCATTGTATGGATATGTTAGTTTGTCTTTTCTGCTGTTGAAAAAGGCAGTTTTGTGTTTGGCTGTACTAAGTATACCTGTACATGTTTTTAGAAAATACGTGCATTCTCTTTAAGCATACATGTATATACTGAGTAGTGGAATTGCTATGTTGTATGGTATATATCTGTTCGTTTTTAGTAAGGTATTGACATTTTTCCAAACTTTTTGCACTAGTTCACATTTCCATAAGCAGTGTGTGAGAATTTTGGTTATTTTACATTGCCATCGGTATTTCATATTTTCATTTGTAAAATTTATTTTACTTCATATAAATATGTAATTTAATTTGATATCAATTCATGATCAAAACACTTGGACAACTAGGAATATAAGGAGACTTTCTTAATCTGATAAAGAATATTTTCAAAAAATTCTAAGGCAGATATCATATTTAATGGTTAAATGTTAAACCTTCATCCTGAGATCAGCAATATAGCAAGGATGCTCATTTTTTTCCACTTGTATTCAGCATTGTATGAGAGGTCCTCATCTTGTCTTACACTACGTAAAGACGGAAGAATTAAAAAAATATCCAGAGCAAAAGGAATTACTAGCACTATTACTGACAAATGACATTACTGTACATGTGAGATATCTCAAGTTGTCTATGGAAAAATACAAGATTTAATAAGCAAATATAGTGATATTGCTGACTATATGGTAAGTAAACAAATATAAGTTTTTTTCTTTATATACCAGCAACAACCAAATGGGATTTTGATTGCTATTGCCTTAAATCTATAGATCATTTAGGGGAGATTTGACATTAATCATGTTTTGTTTTGATTTGTTTTTGACCCATTTGCTTTTCCTAATGCCTCATTATTTTGTTCATTAATATTTCTTAATGTTTAAAATTTTCAGTTTATGGCTCTTGCACATATTTTGTTACTATATGTCAGAGTTTTTCATGCTTTTTGATCCAATTTAATTTTTTAGGTCTTAATTCCTAGTTGTTTACTGCCAGAATATAGAAATATAGTTTATTTTTGTATGTTGATCATGTGTCCTGCATTCTTGTTTATTCTCTTAATATTTCTAGTAAATCTTGTAGATCTTTACAATTTTTTGCATTGACCTTTATGTCATATGTGAACGATAACAGCCTTTTCTTCTTATCAAAAAGCTTTTAATTTTTTGTTATTTACTACACTGATTACAATTTTCCTGAATAACACAGGTCAAAATGTATATTCGTTTTCCCTTTCAAAGCTAAGGGCAAAAGCACTTGGTACCATGGTGTTAGCTATGTAATTGCCCCGATGAGAATGAGGAAATTCCCCTTGCTTCTTCAGAGTTTATTACGATTGTATATTGGACTTTGCTAATTGTGTCATTTGCCTCTTAATCATGATAGTTTTTCTTATTTTAGTTTATTATTATATAGTTACATTGATTGATTTTACCATGTTAAAGTAATTTTGTATTTTGGGGATAAACTACTTAATTCCAGTCTTTTGTCCTTTTTTCATTTTTTATTGGATTTCCTTTGCTAATAGTTCGTTAAATATCTTTAGATCTATACTTACAAATAGTGTTGGTCTCAGGCTTTCTTGTAATGTTGAAGATTTTGGGTATGATAATGCTATTCTCATGAGATCAGTTGCTGTCCCTTGTCTTCTACTTTTGCAAGAGTCTGAAGAATGGTAACTTCTTTCTTAAACTAGTTTAGAATTGACCGTCAAAGCCAGCTATTTCCGGGGATATTTTTATATGGAAGTTTTAAACACTGAATCCTATGTCTTTAATGTAGAACTATTCCGTCTATTTTATTTTGAGGAAACTTTAGTAGTTTGTGCTTTTACAGGAAATTATCCATTTTTTATATTTTAAATATATTTCAGTGTATTGACATAAAGTTATTCATAATATTTCTTTAATACTCCTAATGTTGGTAGGATCTCTAGTGGAGTCTCTCTTCTTATTTTCAGTGTGTTAATTTAGGCCTACTGTCATGCTTTTCTCCTGATCACTTCTAGCAAGAGGCCTATTTTGTTGATTTTTACAGATATCTGCTGTTTGTTTAATACTTTCTTCTTTGTTAATGTACTGGTAACTATTCAGTATATCAACTTCCAGTATTTCGACTGAAGTTCCAGTTGGCTGAGTCTTTTTGGTACCTATCATTTCTCTTCATTGTACTCAAGTTTTCCACTCTTTCCAGAACATAATATTTTTTTTAATCTGTTTTAAGATTTTCTCCTGCTAGTGTTGTTATCCTTTCCTTTAATTACCAGGTTGGAAGATGAGCAGTGTTGAAGATCAAATCCATGACCTTGCACCTTTTAGGCAAGTTAATCTGCAACTGAGCTTCATCCTTATTCTTTCTTATGATTTTAGTTTTTCGTCCTTTATGTGCTTGTACTTCCTTTTTGCTTGCCTAGCCGTCCTGCTGGTTGCAAGCCATTAAGATGTTGCTGACTACATGGATTTGTCATCCTTTAAATATTGTTAGTGTTTGGAGGTGCATTGAATGTTATTGAAATCCCATTTAATTAACTTTGTTAATGTGGGTCCAAAGTAGCTTTTATTCTAGGACTAATTTTTCTTTCTTACTAAAGGAATTTCTTTTTGAAGATTCTATTCTGTCCTCTGCATATAAGGAAGTCTTTGTATTCTAGCTATTAAAACCAAAATAATCCCCAGCCCTTCGTGAATCTCAGGATTATTTTGTGCAACTCTTCTTAGTTGGCTTTTTACTTTTCTAGAATACTTTTTATTCACACATTTAGAGATGACTTTTCCACAGCCTGGAGGATACTTCTAAAATATTCTCAGCCCTCATTTGAAGTCTTTCCTCTTGCACCCTCTGTCTTGACAATTCTAAGGCATGTGACACCTAAGACTCTGAACTTTTCTTAACACAATGAAGCTATGTCTGCCTGGATTTATCCACCGTTTTCCACTTCCTATAAACTCTCCAGGAAATAAGCTAGGATTATCACTTTTATTTCTTTCTAAAATAAATCATTTTCTTTTGTGTACTGTTTTGAAGACTGTTGTTTCATATATTTTTTTCTTGATTTCCTGTTTTAACTCCAGACAATAATCTAGTCCCTATTACTTCAGAAACAAAAATTCTTTGTATCATTTCATAGTTAGAGATCTTGGGCTGGGGATTTAGCTCAGTGGTGCTGCCGTCTGCCTCCCAAGTGCAGGGTCCCAAGTTCCATCCCTAGTACCAAAAAATAAAAAAAAAATAAAAAAAATTTAAAAAAATTAGTTAGAGATGTTTAGTTTTGATAAGTAGCCACTTTGTCTTGCATTTGAGAAACAATAATGTTCTAATGTGCATCCATACTTGTTTTGAAGGGCTCAGTTAAATATGTAATATAAGGATTGCAATAGAATTCTAAGTCACAGTGAAGTCTGCAGATATTGAAAAGATCTTTCATATGCTCCATAAATAGACGCATGAAAATCTAATAATAGAGTTTCTTAGAATAATGTTGGAAAACTAATGTGAATGAGACTTCTCTCAGGTAGCACAGAGAGGTGGGTGACTTTGGGGGAATGAGGATAATGGAGATTAGATTCTAAAATGCCAAATCCACCTAAATAGTTGCAGAGAGTTGGCCAATATGTGCCATTTAAAAGGACTCATTATTACTTCAGTTGTTAGATTTGTCTCCTGTCCTCCTCACTAATACTTAAGGTGAGAGTTAGTTGGTAAATATCTTTAATGAGTCGATCAGTACGGTAAATCCCTTCTTGATCTTCAATACTTGATTAGTTATTAAAGACTTGCTTTCATAGGATTTCCTTATCTGGCTAAACGTTTACTGCAGTTTGGTTGATTTATTTTAAACATTTTGAAAAATAAAATCAGTTATTTTAAAATAAAATCATTGGTTCATGTTTTTGGGTTGGATTAGATAAAGGGAATAAGTTCTTTTGGTATTTATAGTTTTGATATTTTCAGTTTTAAAATGATGCATATTAGAAGCCCTATTTATTATTGCACAGTATAAGTATTTATGAACATATTTTTGAAGTTCATGTACAGAACTAATTGTAACCTTGTCAGTGAAATTTATTTGTAGCCTAAATATTTCATTAAGGTTTTATTTGGACAAGTGTGATCTTCTTTCCCAGTCCTTTTGTACTGAAGTGTAAATGGGCAAAGGCTCTTGTTAAAGACTCCATTGTCTGCAGTGTTGATAGAGAAAAATCATTGGGAAAATAAAGAATGAACAATGTAAAAGAACCTTTACACTAATAACTTTCTATTGCTTAAAATTTATCATTAATAAAGATGAAATTTTTTGATTTATCTCTTAGGCATATACATTTAGTCATATTTACCCAATTCATTTGGTTATTACTATGAAAAAAACACACCAATTATAGAAGAGGGTTACTAGGTGCTATTTATGTCATGGATATTCTAAACTTGTTATAATTTTTATTTTAATGTGTAGTAGCATTCTGTATATTACTTTTGCAGGAAAGTATTAGAGCAAGCTGAGTGAAAATTATGAACATTTTTGTTCATAATTGTGTTTTGAAGTAACTATAGTTTTAAAATATAGTTGTCCTCGATTTTGTGCATATAAACCTGCTATATCTATAATTTATATTTTTCTATATGTATGTTGTTTTTCTCAGTAGAAAAAGTTCAAATTCAGAGGTGAACACCATCAGCATGTTCTTTTTCAGAAAATTAGTAATGCATCATGTAAATGTCTTTGAAGAGATAAAATAGTTTAATGATGTTACTGGCCACTTAGGTTCATGTGCTCAGGTTCATTTGCTCACTGCTGAACAATACAGAGGAGGCCACTTATTTTGGATTTACTCAAAGCGAGGTCTGAAGAGATGGAGGAACATATTATGTCTTGTATCTAGATGTCCTCCCAAAGCCTTATGTGCTCATGGGACTTTTTGGAGCTGGCTGGATCTAGGATTTGTGATGCGAGGATTAAGTGTGTATGGCACTAAATTAGTTCACTGTTTGGTTTAGCATAGATGTGGATGTGGGTAATGGGAAGGCCCATCTTGGGTGTGGGTGGTACCATCCAAAGTGCTGGTAGTTTAGATGGAATATATACAGACAGAAAGAAGGCAGGCTCAGCACTTGCTGTTTGCTGCTGCTGTTCAATGCATCCTGCCTGCTTTGCCATGGACTTTTTCTCCTCTCTGATGCCCTTCTGCCCTGCCACCCTGCCTTACCTGCCAGCTGACTCAGAATTTAAACCTCTATGAAGTGAGCTGACACAAACCTTTCCTCCTTTAACTTTGGGTCTCGGGAACTATATTTTTGACTCAGCAACGAGAGAAGTAACTAAGATACCATCTCACCAGTAGGGGTGTGTTAGGATCTTTTATAGGAAGGAACAGTGTAAGGAGAGGATAAAATGAGACAAAAATAAATATATTAATGCTTGTTCAATTCCTTTCTGGATCCACACGTCTTCCCTCCTTGACAAAGGAAAAGAAATTGACTTGACCTCCTGGTCCTAGCATCAAGAGCTTCTCTCTGTTCATCTCTGAGGAGCGGTGTGGGTAGTTGCTAGTGCCCTAGGTTGGCCAGAGGAAGTCAGAGAAGTCACTTGTTTCTAAAGGGGAAAAAAAAATCTAACTGTTAAAGTTTCATTTTGAGATGCTGGTTACAGTATTTCTGGAATGCTCTAGAAATAAAATTAAAGTTAATAGTGATG